ATAAGGAAATTATGAAGTCTATCTGTCTCCAATTTTATAAAGTAGCTCGAACTATATTTATACAGAAAATAATGTGCAAATTTTACTCAAAATTAAAAAGCCCAAGTCCCATGTGATCAAAGTTTTGCCCCATCCCATCCGGAGCCCTCATACATATGTAGAAAAAGGATTATTATTAATCAATCAGGTACACAAACAAAATTTGTGTTTTCGTCAGCAGAAATGGGCGAAAATTTCAAGAAGTTTGAAGGAACATAATAGAAGACGCTGGGTCTTTTATTATGAGGTTGGGGTATGGGTTTAGGTGTCTTGATCAGTGGCGTAACCAGGATTTTTAGACCAATGGGCAAACTTCTATTGTATCGAAAACAAAACGATATGCAAAAGAGGTAAGGTTTTTAGTGATGGGCCAAAACATTTTGACCTAAAAAAGTAACTGATAACGTTAAAAAAATAAAAATAAATGAAATGAGGTTCCTTTAATCAAATATGCATCAAACTTAGGTCTATTTTTCAAATTCAAACAGAAAAATCAAGACGACGGTGATGTGTTTGTGTATATCGTCTTCTCCACATAACAAAATACTTCGCTAATTAAGATTTTCAAAAACGTTTTCTTGTAGTAGACTGATTCAAGTGCAGTTTCCGACGCCGTTTTTTGTGTTGATTACGAATTTGATATTTTTTTCTTTAAAAAGTTTGATTTTGCATCAAAAACCGGTTTTTAATTTCTTAACCAAGAATTTTCTTCAAAAAATGCTGAGTGACATATTATACGATACAGAATTTTGATTCTCTACAAAACTGTTTATTACTTTTTTCCTCTTCCCTATGGACAACTTCTAAGTTCTTGTACAGTTTCCAATTCACTGTGCAGTTAATGAACTTCCTTTTCGATGTAGCAACTTGATTCTTGCATAGAACGATATGTGAATGGCAGTGACCAATATGTATGAAAATTTAATATTTCTGAGCACGTTAAGTACCTCAAATTTGGTGGACAAACACCAATGTACCAACGTTACGTTCTTTTTTATCCTAGAAAAGACAGTTTAGAATAAATCTTTTTTACTGCTTGAAAGCTCATTCGATGCTCTACAAAACTGGCTCTATGGACATTCCATTTGAAAAAATACTATAAACAAAATAGAGTTTTATAAGCGGCCCTAAAGAAAAACTTGTTGTTGTCCCAGCGTTACGCGATGATAAAACTTTCCTATATGCCCGACGCTTTAGCAAAACTTGATCATGCTAGCAGGATGAATAGAGTATGATAATATTCAAAAGGTCTTACTATTTTGGATACCCTTCGAGATAATTGAAAAACCATGTGATAAAAACCTTCACAGCGTTACTTTTCGAAACGCCGAAAAAATTTCAATATCTCTTCTGAATTTATATAGAGATCTGTATGAATCCATTCAGCAATGGTATACATACATATGAAGGTATGACAATGATCGAAAGAAACAGATAAGATGCAAATGATGTCACCATGTAACAATTCAGTTCGAAAATCAGAAGATAGTAGAGTGAATATATTATAAAAGTATA